ACTACTGCTATTCAGGAGGGCCCCACTTATACAGCAGGTTAGGTTCCAGGCTACTGCTATTCAGGAGGGCCCCGCTTATACAGCAGGTTAGGTTCCAGGCTACTGCTATACAGGATGGCCCCGCTTATACAGCAGGATAGGTTCCAGGCTACTGCTATACAAAGGGCCCCGCTTATACAGCAGGTTAGGTTCCAGGCTACTGTTGTACAGAAGGGCCCCGCCTATACAGCAGGTTTGGTTTCGGGGCGAAAATCACTGTAAAGTGAATCATATATTCAGTGAGCAATATAGTTAGGCCTAAACAGAAAATATACAGTGCACACATTACCTTAAAATATTTTCGTCCTTTTCTTATGAGTGGTAAATTCCTTCATTGTAGGAAGTCTAAATGAAGAATGAAGAATTGAAAACCGCTGTATTAGCACAATGTTGTGAAGTGAAGCACTGTAAAGCGGGATCCTCCTGTGCTTATTCTTCTCTCTTGTACTTTGTTATACAATTTCCTTAAGATTTCTTTTTCACCTTCCGCTGTTTATGATTACTTGTCTAGTATATTATTTTAGGCATGTCGGCAAATGTCTTAATTTTGATTTTCCGTCTGTACCATTTCTATTAAACTTCTGGAGTTTTTGAAATCTCAGACATGACTCCTTACCCTTGGATCCAAATCACTGCTTTATGTGTAGAGTTTTCCTTTCTATCGTAACCTAATAAATTCAAATTAAAGAAGTGGTTTATACAGATCATGATTTGAACTATCGAGGGCGATAATTTCGGTTTTTATTTGATGAAATCGTCATAGGTATTCATCAGTCTGTTCATTTCCTGTTCAGTTTGCTTTCAAGACACGGTACGGCGGGGTTAGAACCCATGGCAAGGCAGTCATAAAACTTCAGTCGTGTTTTTACGATTTCGTGAGGTTGCTTTCATATTACACAACTTCAGTTTTCCTTCATTCCTGTTCTTCATTCATTCCTACTATTCATTCCTACTCTTCATTCTCCCTCTTCCTCTCCCAGCTACAGCCGTTTTGGCTTCAGGGAGTCAAAACGGTTTTATTCAACTGTCATCCCTATCATTCGTTAATTCAGACGTGAAATCACAGGTTCACATAAAATTTAAGAAATCAATGATACTGGCAATGGAACTGAGTGTTAAAGAGGAAGGATAGTGAAGAACGGAGAAAAAGAAGACTGTTTTGGAGAGTTGTGTGTGTGTGTGTGCGTGTGCGTGTGCGTGTGCGTGTGTGTGTGTGTGCGTGTGTGCGTGTGTTCGACGAATCATAACCTACCCAAAATTTTGAGATGAAACCGAGTGAGGCTGAGGACCCATCTTGTCCATTATCATTACCAGAAATTTTTCACGTAATCTCACTTATTCTATGTAGGTGATGTGGTTTTACTGAGTTATGCAACTTGCAGATGTTGATCTAAGTTGATACTGTGTCGGGTTTCTGTTGAATGATATATTCACCGCCTATTGATCTTGATAGTGCATCAGATTTATGTTATATCTAGCGTCTGATAGCTGTTAGTGTGGCTCTCTTCTGTAATAGGTTTGTGTGTGCAGAAGCAGTTGCTCTTACTACTGGTATGAACTTCGGTAATAAATACCGATATATTGGTTTTCAAAGACACGTGAGCAAGTACTAGGACATAGAAAACGTTTCGGTCCTGAGATCTTGATCACTTCTAACCAGATTAGAAATGGTCAAGGTCCCAGGACCGAAACGTTTTCTAACATGTCTCAGTGTTTGCTGACGTGTCGCTCTTACTGCTGCAACAGTGTCGTATCGCGGACAATTGCATACCGAGCAACAGCTGCGTGCATTGGCAACTGTGGGTCTGGTTTATGGTATGCCATGCAACAGACAGTTGTTAATCTGGCTTGCTGTTGCAACATGCTTCTGGCTGGTGACCTGATTCCTCAATGTTTTGTATTAATTCTGTTTATGTTGCTCGTCCTCTCTGTATTTACTTTCCACTGCAACTCTCTCCTACTTATGCTTTACGGTGCACAATTCTCAGATTAGCTGATTTTTCTCTAACGAACTGTCAGTGAATATCGAAATAAAATTCTGAAGCTTCCAGGTCTGGATCGTCGTTTGTTACTAATGGATTGTCTCCTTTAAACTATGGTTTCTTTAAACTTTAAAACTTCCCAGACAGCTTCGTTTTCTTATCGTCAAGGGTCCAAAGTAAGAAAACCGACTGAAACAGAACGTCCAGATTCTGTTTCTGTTGGTTACGTTTCCTCACGGAAAATGACGGAGGAACTTAAGGAGTTGTCTCTCCCCGGACACTATTTGTAAATATATCCCGGCTTGGAATAATAATGCAGTTCACGACAAATAAAGTAATGGTAGAGGGAAACCGTTCAGCTTTACGTTCTTCAGTATAAATGGTTTCTAAGGACCGTGATTGTCTTTTCCTTGATGAGCTTTTTCTAACCTTCGACTCTTTAAGTTTTCTCTTTAGTTGCTGTCCCAAAAAAACCATACCACGGGTAGGGTTAGAACCCACGATCAGAGTCACAAAACGCCAGACCGACGCCTTAGCCACTGGATCAGCTGGCCTGGTGGTTAACGCGTCGGAAGGTTAGCATAGGCACCACTGTGACCACAAATGCAAGTTTTTACAGACGAATATCCCGCTAACGTGGCCGTGACGAACTCTAGCTCAAGTCCCCTCATAACCGTCAACATGGCTAACGCGACGGTCTGGAGTTTAGACTCTCTGATCGCGGGTTCTAGCCCCACCCATGGTATGGTTCGTTTGCAGTCGTGTCAGTACGATTTCGTGAGTCATGTTGCAGTCCAAGCAAACTTCTGTATGCATCATGTTGAAGTTATACTTTTTTCTGCACTATTTCCTACTCTGTCACTTGGCTTGGCTATGCGGATGGCATATTCATGCATTATGACTCGACGAATCGTAATGACACGATTGCCAGCTGGTCCGTGGCTAACGCTCGGTCGGGTTTAAATGGCCTCTGATGCGGTTCTTTCCAGCCGAGATATGATATATTCATCATTATTTTGAAGAGAGTTAGCGCCCCCGCCTCCTCCAAAACAAGGATAAATTCCAGGTCGATAGTTGAATTCATTTACTTTTAAAGAAGAATCCAATGACTCATATTTCAGTCAATTTCTTGGAAGGTTGGATCCAGATCCACAGCACACATAATTTCACTTTACAAGTAACAACACATGGAATAAATTCAGTGTTCGTAGAGCATTTCCCCATGAAAACTCTCACTCGTAAAAAAAAAATCTTAAAGAATACTCTTTCCTTAAATCTTCAATAAATTACACTACCCTTGACATTTCATGAGAATTTACAGACATTTCATGAGAATTTACAGACATTTCATGAGGATTTACAGACATTTCATGAGAATTTACAGACATTTCATGAGAATTTACAGACATTTCATGAGAATTTACAGACATTTCATGAGAATTTACAGACATTTCATGAGGATTTACAGACATTTCATGAGAATTTACAGACATTTCATGAGAATTTACAGACATTTCATGAGGATTTACAGACATTTCATGAGGATTTACAGACATTTCATGAGAATTTACAGACATTTCATGAGGATTTACAGACATTTCATGAGAATTTACAGACATTTCATGAGGATTTACAGACATTTCATGAGATTTACAGACATTTCATGAGGAATTTACAGACATTTCATGAGAATTTGCAGACATTTCATGAGAATTTACAGACATTTCATGAGGATTTACAGACATTTCATGAGAATTTAGACATTTCATGAGGATTTACAGACATTTCATGAGGATTTACAGACATTTCATGAGAATTTACAGACATTTCATGAGAATTTACAGACATTTCATGAGAATTTACAGACATTTCATGAGGATTTACAGACATTTCATGAGGATTTACAGACATTTCATGAGGATTTAGACATTTCATGAGGATTTACAGACATTTCATGAGGATTTACAGACATTTCATGAGGATTTACAGACATTTCATGAGGATTTACAGACGATATTGGTATAACATCACCAACCTGGAGACGCAATCTTTCCCAACAACTCAACTGCCGAACACATCCATAGATCTACAGCAGATCAAAATAACCATTATTTCCTCTTTAATCACCAAGGACATCAGACAGAAACACCATCAACATAACTGCAATCCACTATACCATGCAACAGCTGTACGTTTATCAAGATTAATGAACTGAAGGCATCGACTTAAGGCTGATTACCTCAAGGGACTGATTACCTCAAACTCATCATCCATTGCTCCCTGTACTGGACTGAAGAAGTCACTGGATGGCGAAATTTTTACTGCACAACTGTCTTATCAGAACTAAGGTATCCAGAGACCTTAACAAACGAATTTCCGGACATATTTCAATAGAAAAGACAACGTTGAGAATACCAGCATCAAACATCAGTAATTAACTGCAATTGCACACTATTAATTTCCAAGGTAGACGATACTCAGAGAAGACGATGAAATGTCCATAAATCTTCATGAAATATATCCAGCAACTTCAAATAAATAACTTTATCAGTAATTTAGTTCAACCTTTTGCTATCCAGCTAGAACTTTTGAGAATTACTTATGTAATTCACTTTTTGTTATTCTCCTCACTGCTCCCCTCAAGGGGAGGGGCTCTTGATCTTGGGAATTGGATCTGTGTTCCAGTTCCCTGAAGCATGAATTCCTTCCATCCCCCCCATATACGTTGATTTAATCCTATGGGTTTAGCGCTCCCCCATGATATAATTATAATAATCACCTCACTGCTACTCCCTAATATATATTTGCTCACCTGACTGTTATATATTTATTTGTGATTAGACTAAGTCGTCTGTGTGGGCAAAATGTCGTCAGTCGAATGCACCCTTTTTTCCCATCATGTTTGTTTCTCATACTAATACATACATTTACAGTTTTAAAATGAGAGAAAAACTCTATTTTCTCTGCTTTGTCATACAGATCTACATCAGGAGACGGTGGAGAGATCCATGCTGCCTGGAAGATGGAGCGTGAGGAGCCGTCTTTTCGTGCACCCTAAAGCCGAGGATGACGGCCAACAATATTCGTGTCGTGCTCTACACCCAGCCTTGGCTCGTTATCCAACAACATTAGTTGCTTCCGTAACACTTGCAGTCCTCCGTAAGTTGCAATTACCTGTTTGCATTTGCAATGCAAGAAGAGTAACGAGCTCCAGCTTATTTAAGTGACTTATTACCATTAAAACATTAGAAAGTATTGGGTTGTAGGCTATTAAAAAAATCATTGATCTAGTCTATGGAAAGAGCGGATACAGTCTCAGAATATCAGATATCTTATTAACAATGTAATATTGTGGCATAATCTGTAGGGTTTGCATGGAGGTGTTTCAAAAATATTGGATGTTTGGACACACTAAGATAGTGTTACAGTTATAGAACTATCTGTCCACACACCAGTACATGGACCTGTCTGTCCACACACCAGTGCATGGACCTGTCTGTCCACACACCAGTGCATGGACCTGTCTGTCCACACACCAATGCATGACCCAGTCTGTCCACACACTAGTGCATGGCCCTCTCTGTCCACACACTAGTGCATTCCCCTGTCTGTCCACACACCAGTGCATGACCCTGTCTGTCCAACCAGTGCATGACGCTGTCCACACACCAGTGCATGACCCTGTCCACACACTAGTGCATGGCCCTGTCTGTCCACACACCAGTGCATGACGCTGTCCACACACCAGTGCATGACCCTGTCTATCCAAACACCAGTGCATGACCCTGTCCACACACCAGTGCATGACGCTGTCCACACCAGTACATGACCCTGTCTGTCCATACACCAGTGCATGACCCTGTCTGTCCACACACCAGTGCATGGCCCTGTCTGTCCACACACCAGTGCATGGCCCTGTCTGTCCGCACACCAGTGCGTGACCCTGTCTGTCCACACACCAGTGCATGGCCCTGTCTGTCCACACAAAAGTGCATGACTTTGTCCAAACCCTAGTGCATGACGCTGTCCACACACCAGTGCATGACGCTGTCCAAACCAGTACATGACCCTGTCTGTCCAAACACCAGTGCATGGCCCTGTGTGTCCACACACCAGTGCATGACCCTGCCTGTCCACACACCAGTGCATAACCCTGCCTGTCCACACACCAGTGTATGACCCTGCCTGTCCACACACCAGTGCATAACCCTGCCTGTCCACACACCAGTGCATGACCCTGCCTGTCCACACACCAGTGCATAACCCTGCCTGTCCACACACCAGTGCATAACCCTGCCTGTCCACACACCAGTGCATGACCCTGCCTGTCCACACACCAGTGCATGACCCTGCCTGTCCACACACCAGTGCATAACCCTGCCTGTCCACACACCAGTGTATGACCCTGCCTGTCCACACACCAGTGCATAACCCTGCCTGTCCACACACCAGTGCATGACCCTGCCTGTCCACACACCAGTGCATAACCCTGCCTGTCCACACACCAGTGCATAACCCTGCCTGTCCACACACCACTGCATGACCCTGTCTGTCCACACACTAGTGCATGACCCTGTCTGTCCACACACTAGTGCATGACCCTATCTTTATCCCCACCCTTTGCTTTTGATGTCACTGGCATCTATACAAACCATACTTCCAGAGATGCTCATAGCTAAGCCTTAATTTATCAGTAAGAACATCTTGTAATCTACTGACCTTGCTAATTTCTCCATAAATATTTTTAACTTAACACATTTTGATGATGATCTGGTTCCTGTTTCTACTACTTTTCTTCAGAGTTGAGAGCTAGCTCTATTCTGGCAATATTTTTAAATTTCTGGTTGAGAAACCCAACTTTGCAGTGAAGAGAAATGTGTAAACTGCAGTTTTGTTCTGTAATTAAAGGCTGTTTGTGTTAGTTACCATTTTGTCCTAGGCACATGTCGATTAACACTAGGCCTGTTGTGTGTGTGTAGCTGTGTGTGTGTGTGTGTGTGTGTGTGTGTGTGTGTGTGTTATTTTGTGGTGTGTGTTTGTGTGTGTGTAGGTGTGTGTGTGTGTACTCACCTAATTGTGGTTGCAGGGGTCGAGACTCAGCTCCTGGCCCCGATAAATATTACCGAAAGGTATTCAAAATATTATATTAAATCTTTAACCTTAGTGTGTGTGTGTGTGTGTGTGTGTGTGTGTGTGTGTGTGTGACATGTACTCACCTAGTTGAGGTTGCAGGGGTCTAGTTCAAGCTCCTGGCCCCTGGTGTGTGTGTGTGTGGTTATACTCACCTAGTTACTCACCTAGTTGAGGTTGCAGGGGTCGAGTCCAAGCTCCTGGCCCCGCCTCTTCATTGGCCGCTATAGGTCACTCTCCCTGAACCGTGAGCTTTATCATACCTCTGCTTAAAGCTACGTATGGATCCTGCCTCCACTACATAGCTTCCCAAACTTTCACTTCCTGACTACTCTGTGGCTGAAGAAATACTTCCTAACATCCCTGTGATTCATGTGTGTCTTCAACTTCCAACTGTGTCCCCTTGTTGCTGTGTCCCATCTCTGGAACATCCTGTCTTTGTCCACCTTGTCAATTCCTCTCAGTATTTTGTATGTCGTTATCATGTCCCCCCTATCTCTCCTGTTCTGTGTGTGTGTGTGTGTGTGTATGTGTGCTTATCTGAAGTGTATTGAGAGAGTGAGTCAGTATATCATTGGTCTTAACCTGTGTGCAGGATATCTAAAACATATTTCCTTGTCAAACATTTTGTAACATGAATAAACAGAAGGGTGAACGAGGGGCTCGAACCGCTGTCCGTAAATTGAAATAAGCAACAGTTGATGAATAAACAGAAGGGTGGACGCGGTTCGAGCTCCTCGTCCACCCTTCTGTTTATTCTTCGACAAGTTTATTACAGCTTACTTTGAATTCATTTTGCAACATGATACAAAGGCACTGTAGCAGAAGTGAACATGGAGACCAAAAATTTTTCGTTAGTGTGACTTTGTAAATGGTCCAAATCGGACCGAAACGTCGTGGTAAGCTCCTCTCTTCTATGTGCGGGTTATTTGTGTATCGTTCCAGTCACGGTATTGTGCCTTTTTGTTATTTAGAAGTATATAAGACCAGGAGAGCGGTGATGGGGTGGCGTGACTTGCGAGTCTTGTCTGTATCGGGTCAAGGTGACGGTTTCTGTCGTATAAATAACAGGCGAATCACGACAAACTGTTGTTCCTGCCTTTTTCTGGAATAGCAATGTATGTATGTGGTGCGAGGCTCCATTACGATATAAAACACACGTGTTGTTGTTATAGTTGGTGAGAAGACAAATTCGTGTGACTTCATGTACTCACGTGGACACATACCTGGCCGTCTCACAGTATACTTTAGAATAATTGCTGTAAGGAATGGTGTAGATGCTGCATTTAATGTGTGTTCGAGGCCGTGACTGAGTAAAGGACAGAGGGAAGAGGGGGCCGAGGATAATGATGAGACCAGAGGTGGCTATCAATTTGACACGTGTCGCTTCAAATCTTTGTTCTTTAGATATGCCTGTGTTGTTCTTTAGACAGGCCTGTATTCTTTAGATAGGCCTGTGTTGTTTTCTAGACAGGCCTGTATTCTTTACATAGGTCTGTGTTGTTACTTAGACCTGTGTTGTTCTTCAGATATGCCTCTATTGTTTTAGATAGGCCTGTGTTGTTCTTTAGATAGGCCTATATTGTTGCTTAGATAGGCCTGTGTTCTTTCGATAGGCCTATATTGTTCTTAAGATAGGCCTGTATTGTTCTTTAGATAGTCCTTTATTGTTCTTTGGATAGTCCTGTATTCTTTAGATAGGCCTGTATTGTTCTTTAGATAGGCCTGTACTGGAGGTAAATGAACAAAGGACAAACATCTTTCTATGAAAGAATATTTGACATCTACAGAACATCTGATTAAAAAATGAGATTATTTCATACTTCAGGAAACCTTATATTCAAAATATAGCGAATTATTATATTTGACTGCCTTTGTAACATATAAATCATAATCCATTTCAAAGTCGTGATGTGCTTTAAGAAAAATACTGGAGGTAATTAGGTTCCTCTGGTTTTAATTGTTCCATACATTATTCCATATAAATTTTAAAATATTCAAGGGTCAATTTCCCACTTTATTTAAGATAAAAATTAATTTTGCGAGGTTCATTAATTTATGGACGCTACGTATGATAAAAGTTTAACCCAAACCCTTAAATTGCCTTTTTACTATCATCGAATTCCTTGCTGGGTAGTTATGGCAAAATCAGGATTGTTGAGACAAACCACTTTTTTGCAATAAGGTGATCTGATTTCTTCACATGATACAGCTTAGTTTCACGCCTCATCGCTTGTAATTCACATGGGCGAGATGTATGGGCAAGTCTTCTTACATCAGGTGGTACCTGGGTGTTAGTCGACTGCTGTGGGTCGCATCCTGGGGGATGGTCAATGCTTCAACATCTGAGACTCGACATCTTAGATCCGGTCTGAGGCCAGGCCTCACCAGGAGGCCTGGTCACAGACCGGGCCGCGGGGGGCATTGATCCCCGAAACCCTCTCCAGGTATATTGCAGGTAAGTAAATAATAATACCAGTTTCGGAGACCCGAACCGGGAGAGTACCGGCGAATAAAAAAAAAAAAGTGGGATGAACGGCGGGTCGACGAGGTTGACTAACCTTTTCTGCACGGTCGACCTAAGCAACACTTGCTCACTAAGGCACTTCCATATAAACACTAGTAAAGAGTGACTCTTGAAGCGGAAATTCGAATGTTGCTCTAGTCTATTTGGGAAAGGATGAGTTGTATAGAAAAATTATCTTAGAAGAACACTGAATATAATGGAAATAGTTGGATTTAATCTTTGTTTCATTAGTTAGTATAAATTATATATATATATATATATATATATATATATATAATATTATATATATATATATATATAATTATATATATATATATATATATATATATAACCTAGCTAATGAAACAATGGTTAAATTCGACCATTTCTCACAGAGGTCACATACTGTTGTGAGTCAGTATTACCCTCACAAGCGAGCCCTCTGGAAGCCATCACCCAGGGCAGGAGTAGTTTATTGACCATAGAACACAGTGGATGATCCAATTATGAAACACGTCCGGGACTATTGTGATATATATGACCCTGTATACACTTGCGCCACCTACCTTGCCGCCTGGCTTTCAGTGCTGGGCAAGTTGAAATTAATACTGTATTTGGGGCTTCAAAGCAAAGCTTGTTGTTTTGGGAATTTAGATCACTAGTTTGAGTTACTCGCAGCTTCACGTTTCTCATTATTACATTACTGATCACATGTTACTCTTAAAAGAAAGTGGATTATCCGTGTGAGAGTAATAAACTGCTTATCTTGAATATGTATCTGAGAGAGTGAGATTGTTTATACTAGGCAGTCCACTACGTGATTATCTTAGCTCTTATTATTATCAGCCACTCAGAGCCGTATGACCCTGTCGAACCATACCACGGGCGGAGTTTGAACCCGCGATCAGAGTCATAAAACTCCAGATCCGACGCACTATCCACTGAGCCAGCTGGCTACAAGATTCGTCCACTGGCTAGCGCATCGGTCTGGAGTTTTATGAATCTCTGATCGCGGGTTCTAACCCCACCCGTGGTATAGTTTGTTTGCAATCGTGTCATTACGATTTCGTAAGCCACGATCACCCTTTCGAGTTTAGCGCCTAACTTGATTATAATTACACTACTATTACTATTCAACATCATGAAAATACAAAATTCTAATTGAAATATATTATTTTCCAATTTAGAATTTTCTCAGCCATACTATTGTCAGTTTGTGTTATATGTTCGTACTCTCACATGTTCATCAAGAACACGTGACGAACATCAGGAACATGTTTATATACTTGTTCACATTCATAGACCTATAGTACAATGGTTACTGTCTCACAACCGAAAAGCCCTGAGGTAAGATATATGGGCAGGTTTCTTACTGAGTCCCTGTTTTGCCTGGTAAAGGATTAACCCTGCGCTAAATTAGTGTATAAAATGACCAGATCGGCTGACACTTCGTATTTATAATCTGAATCTTCCTCTAAGATAGAACAACGCATTGAAAATGTTGAAGATTATCAGATTTAAATAAATTAATTCGTGTGAAAGGTTATACATGTGAGGCAGAGTGACGGGGGAGGGGAGGGAAACCATTCTTATTGACAGCCAGACACACACACACACACACACACACACACACGCACACACACGCACACACACGCACGCACACGCACGCACACGCACGCACAAACCCAAAGCACACACACACACACACACACACCCCCACAAACACACACACACACAACACACACACACACACAACACACACAACACACACACACACACACACACACACACAAATTACAGGAGAAGAGTGGTGAACAACCTAGAAAGAACTGATCTCACAACCAGCACCAACATGGTTCAGGACGGGAAACCCTGGTCACAAACCTACTGAGTCTGTGACATGGTGACAGCAGTAAACAAAGAGAGAGGGGTGGGTGGATTGCATTTTCTTGGACTGCAAGAAGGCGTTTGACACAGTTCCACACAAGAGATTAGTGCAAAAACTGGAGGACCAAGCAGGGATAACAGGGAAGGCACTACAATGGATCAGGGAATTGTCAGGAAGACAGCAGCGAGTCATGGTACGTGGCGAGGTGTCAGAGTGGGCGCCTGTGACCAGCGGGGACCCACAGGGGTCAGTCCTAGGACCAGTGCTGTTTCTAGTATTTGTGAACGACATGACGGAAGGAATAGACTCCGAAGTGTCCCTGTTTGCAGATGATGTGAAGCTGATAAGAAGAATTCATTCGATCGAAGACCAGGCAGAACTACAAAGGGATCTGGACAGGCTGCAGACCTGGTCCAGCAATTGGCTCCTGGAGTTCAACCCCACCAAGTGCAAAGTCATGAAGATTGGGGAAGGGTAAAGAAGACCGCAGAGGGAGTACAGTCTAGGGGGCCAGAGACTACAAACCTCACTCAAAGAAAAAGATCTTGGGGTGAGTATAACACCAGGCACATCTCCTGAAGCGCACATCAACCAAATAACTGCTGCAGCATATGGGCGCCTAGCAAACCTCAGAACAGCATTCCGACAACTTAATAAGGAATCGTTCAGGACCCTGTACACCGTGTACGTTAGGCCCATATTGGAGTATGCGGCACCAGTTTGAAACCCACACCTAGCCAAGCACGTAAAGAAACTAGAGAAAGTGCAAAGGTTTGCAACAAGACTAGTCCCAGAGCTAAGGGGTATGTCTTACGAGGAGAGGTTAAGGGAAATCGACCTGACGACAATGGAGGATAGGAGAGATAGGGGGGACATGATAACGACATACAAAATACTGAGAGGAATTGACAAGGTGGACAAAGACAGGATGTTCCAGAGATGGGACACAGCAACAAGGGGACACAGTTGGAAGTTGAAGACACACATGAATCACAGGGATGTTAGGAAGTATTTCTTCAGCCATAGAGTAGTCAGGAAGTGGAATAGTTTGGGAAGCGATGTAGTGGAGGCAGGATCCATACATCTTTAAGCAGAGGTATGATAAAGCTCACGGTTCAGGGAAAGTGACCTAGTAGCGACCAGTGAAGAGGCGGGGCCAGGAGCTAGGGATCGACCCCTGCAACCTCAACTAGGTGAGTACACACACGCACACAGATTGCTGCAGCATACGGGCGCCTGGCAAACCTTAGAATAACGTTCCTATACCTTAATAAGGAATCGTTCAAGACACTACACTGTGTACGTCAGGCCCATACTGGAGTACACAGCACCTGTTTGGAACCCACACTTAGTCAAGCACGTCAAGAAGTTAAAGAAAGTACAAAGGTTTGCAACAAGGCTAGTTCTGGAGCTCAGGGGAATGTCGTACGATAAAAGGTTGAGAGAAATCGGGCTGACGACACTGGAGGACAGAAGGGTCAGGGGAGACATGATAACGGCATACAAGATACTGTGTGGAATAGAGGGGACACAGAAACAAGGGGTCACAATTGGAAGCTAAAGACTCAGACGAGTCACATGGATGTTAGGAAGTATTTCTTCAGTCATAGTGTCTTCAGGAAGTGCAATAGCCTAGCAAGTGACGTAGTGTAGGCAGGAACCATACATAGCTTTAAGACGAGGTATGACAAAGCTCAGGAAGCAGAGAGAGAGGGGACCTAGTAGCGATCAGTGAAAAGGCGGGGCCAGGAGCTGAGTCTCGACCCCTGTAACTACAATTAGGTGAGTACACACACACACACCACAAGATCTCTTTTCCCATCTGATGAGAACTTAGGTTATTGCATCGAAACTTTGGAAGAATTAATAAAATCCAACAACCTAGCTTCCCGGGGGCTGGTTAAATATCGCGGGCTCGATCCCCGGCCGGTCCCAGTATTGTTATTTGCTTAAAAACACTTATTTCGTGGATGCATATACATACATTCACAAACACCACTGTGAAAAAATACTGACCTTCCAAGCGCTTTCGTCATTTCTCACATTATCAAGGCTCTTTTTAATATATTTTTTTTTTACTTTTCTTTCAGAGAATAACTTATAATTCTCGTTCCAGGTTGAAGATGTGAAAGTGTCACCATACTGAACAGGACTCGCTCTCACTTGACACGTTATTCGTTTTTTTATTAACACATCGGCCGTTTCCCACCAAGGCAGGGTGGCCCGAAAAAGAAAAACTTTCATTATCATTCACTCCATCACTGTCTTGCCAGAGGCATGCCTACACTACAGTTATAAAACTGCGACATTAACACCCCTCCTTCAGAGTGTAGACACTGTACTTCCCATCTCCAGGACTCAAGTCCGGCCTGCCAGTTTCCCTGAATCCCTTTATAAATGTTACCTTGCTTACACTCCAACAGCACGTTAAGTCCTAAAAACCACTTGTCTCCATTTGCTCCTATCTAACACGTATATATTTAAAACATGGTAAAATCTGAGTTAATATTAAATGATATTGTCACCAGATCCACCAGGAGCACCAGTAATCAGTGGCTACGCAAGTGGTGAAGTGTTAGTGGAGGGAGAGCAGCGCACCTTAATCTGCCAGGTTGATGGTGGCAGACCCAGACCCTGGGTGACCTGGTATAGACACGGCCGCCCACTCAATCATGCCCCAGCCATCCACTTGCTAAGGGGCGGCGACCCCTTCACCGCCAGCTCCCCTACAGCCGACAGCGGGGAGGAGACGGAGTGGAGGGTGGTGAGGGTGAAGCAGGGTGTGTCAGCAGCCAGAGAGGAAGATGGAGCTGTCTACGAGTGTCGAGTCTCCAGTAAAACTCTGACCCGACCTCTTACTACCAACGTCACCCTCACTGTCCACTGTAAGTCTCTCTTACATGTACATCTAATCTTTCTGAAATTTTGGAGTTCCCCCACCCCTCAAGGGACGTTCCTTAATGCTGGTGAGGGGCTCTGGATCTAGGGAATTCAATCTGTGCTCTAGTTCCCTGAATTAATCCTGAATGCATTCCGCCTTACCCCCCCACAGGTGCTGTATAGTCCCTACAGATTTAGATCTCCCCATGAAAATGCAGTTCCCGCACTGTAAGCTCTCATTGGACAAATTGTACTCTACGCTTTAAGTCAGAGGTACGTAACCTTTTCACGATTACAGATCCCCCAAAGGATTTCCCAATATGTGTCCGCCGTCACCCGTCCTCAGAATATGACAATAGATTAGTTTAAGTTTACACGTGGATAACTAGGAACAGAACAGATGATAATTTATTTTGATCTTACAGCAAGTTTATTTTAGAAATAGTCCAGAGATCGAGTCCCATATTCAGATTATTTGGTTTCCAGACCCCCATTATTTGGTTTCCAGACCCCCATTATTTGGTTTCCAGACCCCATTATTTGGTTTCCAGACCCCATTGTTTGGTTTCCAGACCCCATTATTTGGTTTCCAGACCCCATTATTTGGTTTCCAGACCCCATTGTTTGGTTTCCAAACTTCATTGTTTGATTTCCATATCCCAATTTTTTGGTTTCTATACCCCCATTATTTGATTTCCTTACCCCATTATTTTGTTTCCATATCCTTATTATTTGGTTTCCAAACCCCCATTATTTGGTCTCCATACCCCTTTGGGGTATGGAAACCCACGGTTAAGAACCCCTGCTTTAAGTTTGCTCTTCCACTGTAATTGGTCAGTGGTATGAACTCAAGAGTAAGCAGTGTGCCAGGCTCCGTGGGAGACATGCCCCCTAGGGGAGGTTTTCTTTGCTGCCAGTGAGGGACTCGTGTGCAATTGGATGTATGCTCTCCTTCATCGGATCGAGTCTGAATTCCTCCCATTTCCTCAAACGTTGCGTAACCTCTCCGTGTTTAGCGCTCCCTCCCACCACCATTAACAATCTGATGACTAATGTCGGAACGACAGAAATCTCTGGCGAAGTTCACCAAGCATTATGAATATTAATAGTCTTTTATTATTTTGTTAGCACATGGGCCGTTTCCCACCGAGGCAGGGTGGCTCGAAAAAGAAAAACTTTAACCATCATTCACTCCATCACTGTCTTGCCAGAGGTGCACTTACATTACAGTTATAAAACTGCAACATTAACACCCCTCCTTCAGAGCGGAGACACTGTATTTCCCATCTCCAGGACTCAAGTCCGGCCTGACAGTTTCCCTGAATCCCTTCATAAATGTTACTTTGCTCACACTCCAACAGCACGACAAGTCCTTAAAACCTTTTGTCTCCATTCGCTCCTATCTAACTAACACGGTCACGCATGCTTGCTGGAAGTCCAAGTCCCTCGCACACAAAACCTCCTTTATACCCTCCCTCCAACCTTTTCTAGACCAACTTCTGCCCCGCCTTCCCTCCACTACAGATTTATACACTCTCGAAGTCATTCTATTTTGTTCCACCCTTTCTACATGTCCGAACCACCTCAACAACCCCTCCTCAGCTCTCTGGATAATAGTTTCGGTAATCCCGCACCTCCTCCTAGTTTCCGAACTACGGATTCTTTGTATTATATTCACACCACACATTGCCCTCAGACACATCTCCACTGGTATAACTATACTCTCATGCATTCCCCTCTATGCTTCCATGAACAAAGTTCTTTGTCTCCAGAGACTCCTCAGTGCACCACTCACCTTTTTCCCCTCGTCAATTCTGTGATTCACCTCGTCTTTCATAGACCCATCTGCTGACACGTCCATTCCTAAATATATGAGTACATTCACCTCCTCCATACTCTCTGCCTCCAATCTGATATCCAATCTTTCGTTACCTATTTTTTTTTGTTATCCTCATCACCTTACTCTTTCCTGTATTCACTTTTAATTTTCTTCTTTTACATACCTTACCAAATTCATCCACCAACCTCTGCAACTTCTCTTCAGAATCTCCCAGCAGCACAGTGTCATCAGCAAACAGCAACTGTGACAACTCCCACTTTGTTACATTCTCTTTTATTGCCACGCCTCTTGCTAACACTCGAGAATTCACTTCTCTTACAACTCCATCTATAAATATATTGAACAACCATGGTGGCATCACACATCCTTGTCTAAGGCCTACTTTTACTGGGAAATAATCTCCCTCTCTCTTGCATACTCTAACCTGAGCCTCACTATCCTCGTAAAAAATTTTCACCGCTTAAAACAACCTACCTCCTATTTCATATATATGTAACATCTGTCACATTGCCCCCTCCCCTATCCACCCTGTCATAGGCTTTTTCCAAATCCATGAATGCCACAAAAACCTCTTTACCCTTATCTAAAGAAGATTTTGTGACATGGATTTGGAAAAGACTTATTGTTAGGTAAGACACATATGCAACAGTTAGACAACTTTATTCCGAAACGTTTCGCCTACACAGTAGGCTTCTTCAGTCGAATACAGAAAGTAGGCAGGAACAGTAGAGATGTGAAGACGATGTAATCAGTCCATCACCCTTGTAGTCGTAGAATTTGAGGTTGTCAGTCCCTCGGCCTGGAGAAGTTCAGTTCCGTAGTCAGGAACTATCTGAAGATCAAGCGACAGTGCGGAGACTTAAATACTGTCGGAAGGAGAGGTGCAGTAGTAGTAGTAGTAGTAGTAGTAGTAGTAGTAGTAGTAGTAGTAGTAATGAGAATGTAGCCAATGAGAGGTCATGTCCCTCTCAGATCCAACACTTCTCACTTGAAAAGCTTGTCCAAGGTGTTTTCTGTACCAAGATGCCATGTGTTGCTTGATCTTCAGATAGTTCCTGACTATGGAACTGAACTTCTCCAGGCCGAGGGACTGACAACCTCAAATTCTACGACTACAAGGGTGATGGACTGATTACATCGTCTTCACATCTCTACTGTTCCTGCCTACTTTCTGTATTCGACTGAAGAAGCCTACTGTGTAGGCGAAACGTTTCGGAATAAAGTTGTCTAACTGTTGCATATGTGTCTTACCTAACAACCTGTCGGTATTGTATACCATTTTGATGTTCAAAATATTCTTTTGAACCTTGGTTAGAACTGATTCTCGGGTACGTTATTCTTCTTGAAGAGGTCCATTCCAGCTATAGAGTGTACTTCTATATATATATATATATATATATATATATATTATATATATATATATATATAATATATATATATATATATATATATATATATAGCGAAGAAAGATTGCATAGAAACACAAAACAACGCAGATGAGCACGAACAGCGGTGATAATAGGTAAACAAACTAAAAAAAAAACAAGCAGACAAAATAGTGAAACACAAGTAAAGTGCGTAGAAAATAGCCAAGAAACCCCAGGAAACCTGAAGCAGGTGGAAAGTACTCGGGAAAGCCAAAGTAGGAGAGTAAGAACACCCAGAAACCATTGCAGTAAATCATTGCTCACTTACCTGAGCACAGTACGCTCATGCTAGTACTGTGCAACCAAAGCTCCCTCACTTAAGCACAGTACTCTCATGCTAGTACTGTGCAACCAAAGCTCCCTCCCTCAAGCACAGTACTCTCATGCTAGTACTGTGCAACTAAAGTTCGTCCCTCACTTAAGCACAGTACCCTCATGCTAGTACTGTGCAACCAAATATCCCTCACTTAAGCACAGTACTCTCGTGCTAGGACTGTACGCCCAGAGCTCCCTCACTTATGCACAGTACCCTCATGCTAGTACTGTGCAACTAAAGCTCCCTCCCTTAAGCACAGTACTCTCATGCTAGTACTGTGCAACTAAAGCTCCCTCCCTTAAGCACAGTACTCTCATGCTAGTACTGTGCAACTAAAGCTCCCTCACTTAAGCACAGTACTCTCAGTGCTAGTAATATACAACCAAAACTGCCAACCTGGCTTTCAAAATATTTCCAGAATAGGATACGTAACTGTGGATAAGTAACTCGCAGTAAGTGATAAGGCAGTTACTCTCAGCTCTGGCAGAAGTAACAATGCCCTGCTTCTGTAATCATTTACAGAATGGAAAAAGTTAAGGATGTTTTGGTCACGAGTATATGGATTAAGATTTGAAAGTTATCGATAACGGCAGTTATTAGGTCGCGGAGAAGCGGTGGATTACTGTATATTAAAGAGATATTTTTTGCTTCACAGAACTGTTTGAACCATTAATGACGAAGTAGAATACTCGGAATTGCAATGAATATCAAATAATATCTCCGGAAACAGGTGAGAATTTTGGGGGGGAATAAATAATGATAATGGGCCGCTGGAAAAATCTGTTAATATCATGAAATATTTCTTGTCCGTGGATATCAGCCTCAAGAATGTGCAATATAAACAACGAGTAACAGTTTCTTGCTACTAACACTTGGGTCATACACATCCTGTCAGGTTGTATTACATATAAATATGGGTTTTCCCATTTTTAAATAGTTCTTGTTTTTGTTATATTTCTGTCTAATGGAAGCGAAAAGAATTATTCCACTCAAGCGTGTCGTAGGAGGGGACTAAAATGCCGGAGCAAAGGTTTAGTACCCCTTTTCCTGTTTACATCACTAATTTAAAAGCATACACGCTCATTATTCCTTTCAGTCATCTGCCTGGGTGGGATACTCCATTCGTTAAAAAGTGAAATGTTAGTCAAATCTCGCGTCGTACTAATCAGAATCTGGAAAGAATTCATGCTCCATAAACATCATAACAAAAGACTAATGGAGCTTCTAAATATTAATTGTAACCAAAGATAATAGAAGCTACATGAACTAACATGACGATCTTCATAGAAACGAGGAAGTAAGACAATAGTTTACAATTTCATGTACTCTAATAACAACATAGAAACCTGAAGGGTAAAGATTAATATCAGGAGTGAGAAATGAAGGAGTAGTGAACAAGGTGTGTTAAGTAAATTTTATATC